GCACTCTCAAATCTTCATCGTGAGGTTCGGCACAACTTTTAAGTATTTACATTTTAGTCCTCGAACTTTGGATTCCTTATAATTTAGCCATTTCTCCAAATTTGTCAACTTTTGCTTATTTGCTTTGATCTCACCAACTTACATCACAACATCAAAATCACACATCTAATTATTTAACAATTGCATAAACATTACATCATTAATTATTTAATTAATCAAAAAAATTACATCTTTATTAATAACAAATGAATTATTAAAAAAAACTATTAAATATAAACTAGGCAAATGTGCATTGCACGTTGCTTGCACCTAGTACATAATAATATATCAATAGATAATATGGCAAGAGTAAATTTAATTAAAATCTTTTCAATCGAGTAACTTCCTGACTTGTATTTTGACACATCATCATTATACGCATTTTTCAAGACTCACTAAAGTGATAAATATTGCCCCCAAATTGTGATCACAAACTAAGCTTTAGCTTAATGACACAAGACATTATTATTCGTTCAATTTTTTTTTTATACCCAAGTTTCCCAGCTTACACAAAACTATGTCCTGGACCACCTATCCCCAGCCCCTCAACGATGGGTGGAAGTTTATCGCGGTATATGCCCAAGTTAACCACGGTCCGTGTACCCTTTATACTCCTGACCCCAAAAGAACCTTCCTCCATGGATATTACATCACCAAACTGCTCCTCCTAAATTGAGTATTACAACACTCAGCTGCTACATCCATCGACACTTGATTGGGTTGGGTTGGTTTGATTTTAGATCAAACCGACCATGTTGGGTTGGGTCTGGGTTGGGACAAAAACCAACCCAACCCAATCCACGCCCACCCCTAGGCGCCATACACTTTCTAAATGGGAGACATTATTGGAGGAATTTTGACAAATTAAGAGCTTATCATGTGCACTTTTGAATTTCTTGATTAAAAGGTCCAAATATATTATTTTATTTTATTTTTTTTCCATTTTTTCCCATAACTTATTTTGAGAGAAAAAAAAAAGGGAGTTTCAATATTGTGAATATCTCACAATTCATCTTCTTCTCTCGAACTTTAGGGGATGTTCTCTTTATATTTCAGTTTTGTATTTTGAGTTTTGAATTTATTTTGGATTTTGTGTTTTGAGTGTCCATTTTGAGATTGTTAAAAATGTGTTTTTTTTTCACATTTTGAAAAATTGTTTTGAAAACACTCAAAACGTGTTTTGAAAATTTTGACTTGATTATAACGGAAAAACTTTTCTTTGTAAATTTTTAACTTATTTTCGAAAACGAATTTTTGATAATAGAAAAGAGAACGCGTTTTCACTATTTTAAAAAATTGAAAACAGAAAACGGCTCGAAATTAATAAAGAAAATGGACCCTATAGGTTATTTCAAATGTCGTGAAGCAAACATCCTAGGCAATATTTTTACTTTATTTTGATCATACTAGAATTACAATGTCAAAAAAAGAGAGCACTAATTAATTTGATCATGATATTCAAGAATTATGTAACGGCAAATGAAATGGAATTACTCAAAATAATGTAATTACTCCCAAGAATAAGAGAAAATCAGCTCATTTTCAAAAACAAGTTTATGTAAAAATAGAGAAACTCACTTCAAGACTCGGCTTTTTGATGTTGATGATTATCGTCACGCGAATTCGTATGTTGTTCTTGTTGTTCTTCCCCAGCTTCTTCAGGTGCATCTAGTGGCTCCACCGCGCTGGAGGAGCTGCTGGCATGGTGCTCCGCCACCGTGCGGGTTGGCGGGTGAGGATTAAAGCTTCCATCAATACATGAGGAGCATTTGATCTCAACCCACCTTTCAAAATCGTAACCTTGATGACCCATTATTCTTCGACCCGAACAGAGCCGCCCGATCATCACAGATAAAGCACCCAATACTGTTATCACTGCAAGAACACCAATAACCGGTCCGACCGACCCGTGACCCGAACGATCTGTGTAGGCCGCTTGTTGGGCCATCACCGCCAATGGCGGTGTTTGCAGGGGGTCTAATACTGGTGGAATTGAAACAGTCATTTTCACTTATAAGCTGAATAAAATATGTAGTTTCTTGAAGATTTGGAGCTGGGTTTACAAATATATCTTGGGTTTTTTTCTGCTTTTAATTGGATTGAAACTAGAGCAAAATTATGAGTTAATTTGGACAGGGAAAAAAGCAGATTTGATCAAACTTATGATTTGTAGGCACAAAGTTCTTGAGAAAGAGTGAATGGTTATATGGCAGCTTTTTTTTTCTTCATTTCTTGTTTTTTTAAGAAAAAAGGTGAATGGAGAATAGTAGTAGCACCGTAAACCGTGTGTCTGAGTGGAGGGAAGGATTCTTGAGCTGTGTTACATATCTTCTATTTATTAAAATCGGCTATGTAATGGATTTTTTTATTTTTAACAGAAAAATTAACGAAATTTATTGTTTTACCGGACTATGTAGCGAAATTTCTTGTTTTAAACAGGCAGCTGCACCTTCTTTCAGTATTTTTATCATAACTTTGTATTCCGATATCCGATTGAG